TCAGCTTCTCCAGATTCTCCTCTTAATCACGTTTTCTGGTGAGATTACACAGAAATCCTCTTAATCCCAGGTAGTCAGACTCACCACAAATCTAATTATTCTGGTAAATATCACCGCATGTCTTCACAAAATCCGACTAAAAACAAATTATCTATCCAGAGTTTCATTCAGTACTGCTTTAAAATTCCTCTCTGTGAATTCAGGGAAATAAAAATATCCTGTTTGGATAATCCCAGAGAAAGTATCGTAACGTAAGATATCTATTTCTATGCAGCATGTTTAGTCAGAATAATGAAATAAATTGTTATCAATGCATATCGAAGGTTAATAAACATTAATATTTATTTAACTCAATTTGGTGAAATCTACCTAATGTGTCAAAATAAAACCAATATTAAATGTCAAATTTAACAACACATTTTGCTGGATGATAAACTGTCCCAGAAATTGTTGCAATTAACAATAACATAGCTAATTAATTAATTAATTCTTAAAGATCAATATGCTCTAATTTTGTAAAGAACATTTAAGACTATAACTGGAATAAAAATTTAAATAACCAAAAAATAAAAGACCCAAAACAAAATGGAAATAAAAACCAAACACAAAAAAAAGATTAACAATCGTGTTGTTGAAACAAACTTTTCTGTGTTTTTTCTTCATAACCTCCATCTTTGTCTGATTCCCATCATGCATCTCTGCCTGTGAAATTCCCAGAATGCTCGGCATCTCTACGGGCCAGTCCTGGTTTTATGCTGCAGTCTGAGGCTGAAGCAGCGTTCAGCGTACCGAGTGACCCACTCTTTATGGGTTTTCTGTAACTTCACCACTCAGATTGTGATCCTCTTTATTTCACATTCACAGAAAAGCTGCTTCTCAGTTTGTCTCTTTAGATTCAGCTGACTTTGGTTATATTTTTTCCTTTTCAATTTCCTAAGTTGATGCATCATATTTACATTGTTCATGTGTATAAAATCCCTGAAATTTCTATTTCAAAATTCAAAATGTGCTTGAAAAAATATGGAATTTTGAGATTAATCTCAGAAATGTTCAGAAGAAACAAGGAAATTTCTGAGATTGAAAAGTTTAAATTTTGCTAGAATATTTTTTATTTTAAGATGATTCGCAGAGATTTTCTAAAAGAGAAAAACTTGGATATTTCTGAGGACCAAATTTTCGACTCAAAAATGTGATACTCAATTTTTTTTACTTTTTTAGAAAAAAAAAAACCGAGTATCACAAATTAAACTATCTACTATGGGTTAGAGTAAAAAAAATATTTGGGCTTATTTTGTTATTTGTTGTTATTTATATGAATTATTGTCATCTTGGTCCTTAAATTATCTAAATTTCAAACTAACTATAATTTGGTCCATCTAATTATGTAATTTTTAAATATTAAATGATTGATAATTTGATCAGTTACTCAGTACTTAAGTAAACTTTTTACCAAAGCAATTTCTTGGTTGGCTACTTTTTACTTTTACTTCAGTAAACATATGTTGAACTAGTGCTACTCTTAATTGAGTTCTGTTTTTTAGTTCTTTACCCACCTTTGCCTGTTAGAAAAAAAACTGAAACAAATTAAAGTAGTGTAAAAATCTAGGTTAATTTTTCTACAATTAATGCAACCTCTCCTGTAAGTAAATATGTGACTGCAACTGATTCTGTGTGTATTTATTTGGGGTGAAAGCATGAAAGCAGTGCTATTTTGGATGTTTCCTCCTGGCTCTGTGCTAGGATGCAGGCCAACTGGTGGTGTTAGCCATGGATTATGACTTTTAATGGCAGCAGGTTTGGGAGCGTGGGAAAATAAACTCATGTGTAAGTTTAGCTCCCAGTGCATCAGATGTTTTTAGTGTCTTACATCAGTCCTTGAGTTACCCTGACCTGGAACATTTTCTCACTGCTCAACAATTTTCCACTAAAATATACTTCTTGGGGGTCACATATGTGGTGGATAGATTCACATTTTGGACATTTTTATACTTCCATTTGGGTTTCTACTGCTTCTAAACAACAACAAAAAAAAACATTGAGTTTTTTGGCAGTAAGTTAATGTTTTCTGGTGTCTGGAAAATGAGGTTTAAAAAACCTTCCCCACTGCCCAACCCCTGTGGAGGCTATATCGTTACCTGGCAACCCCAGCGGAATTCCGCCCGTTGCCTAGCAACCCCAGCGGAATTCCGCCCGTTGCCTAGCAACCCCAGCAGAATTCCGCCCGTTACCTTCAAACTTACAATAGGCAGTTATTTTAACTTGATAAAGTGACAGAAAATGACTCGGAACATTAATGTCTGCGTTAAATCCAAAGTAATTTTCTAGCTGACTTTAGTTGTATTTTAACGATAGCAGTGAACTAAAGTGAAGTTTCATTTTCAATTTAAAACACCTTAAATTGCTTTACAGTGCAGTTTATTAAGGGTTGTTTTATTTTGTGTGTTGTTTTAACATCTGTAGAATAAATAAATAAAACATGTACAATGCTTGTTTTTTGACCAAAGCATAATTTTAATTTAGAAACTATTTATCTGTATGATGAGCTGTAACCAATGAATTAATCTTTGCAGAAACATGAATGCTTGAACCAGGTCATTATTGTGATTATTATTATTTAATTAATTTATTTATTTATTTGCGTTTCGTAAAAAGAATCAAAATAATGTTGAAATATTGAGATTACATAAGGTTAAAGTAAAAGTCAGTGACTTCATTCAGTTAAGGTAGCTCCTAACATCATTGGAAGAAGTTAATATTATTTATAATCTGTGGAGTTTTGATTTGTTTAAATCAAATTTCTCTCAGATGTTTAGTAAAATTTGCCACCTGCCTCTCTGAGCGCTAGCTCAGATAGCCTAGCCTCCGTTCAGAGTCTTGATATTAGTCGATTTGCTGAGGTAATGAGGTAATTTAAACATCCAGCAGACCAGCGCTATAATCCTCCTGACCCGTCTTTAACCTCAATTACCGCAAAGAGTCGTTCAAATGCTTTGGAGTCATTACAAGCAGCTACTGAAGCAAAGATTTTCTCCCACCAGGAGCTCAAAAAAATAAAATGTTTGACAAAAGGTCTAATGTTTACGGGGGGAAAGTTATTCTGAATAAATTCACCAGTTTCTACTCATCCCTCAGGTGTTGCCCATTAGGGCAATGTTGACCCTTTCCTCGTCCTGTAGCCGTGGGTTGATCCTCTTCTCTTTGTCGCGCTCTCATCCTCTTTCTTTTCTGCGTCTGTCGTCTCCAGCCCGGCTGTAATGAGTAAAGGTCGGCCTGTCTGTGCTCTTCACTTGAGCTGTCAGTGTCTGTCTTTTACTGAGCTGCTTATTAGCTTTGACCTTTAGAAGATGCCATTATGAGCAGGAAAGAGCAGAAAAGAATCTGAGACAAAGTTTCTTCCATTGGAAAGCTGTTGTTTCATGTTTTCAACATGTGAAAATGCTTTTATTCAAAAGGGAAAAAAAGAAAACTGCTTGTATTTGTTTTTTATATTGACAAACGTTATTGGTTTGCATCTCAGTAATGTGGATTTACTATGGAAATCAACCAAACCATAATCACAATTAAATAAATACAAAATCTTTGTTTGGACTTTCATGTTGTCAGTAGTTCATAGAATAAAATAATGTTCGTTTTACTCAAACATTTACATATAAAAAGTAAAATCAGAAATCATTTTCAGTGGTTTCTTAATTTTTTTTCCAGAGCTGTATGTGTATTTTTTTATTTGACCTCATTTACAAGAGAGACCTGTTGATAAAATAAAATTACAAACACAGCAACAAAACAATTAAGAAACTTGTCTAATAAAATATGAGCTGAAAAGAAGAGCAAGTGTCATAAGAAGATTTTAATTTTTGTCTTAAAAGAAAAACTTCACTACCTTTCATTGTACTCCTGGTGGGGTAGTAACTAGTTACATTTACTCAATTACATTTACTTGACTAATGTTTTTGAAAAAAAAAGTACTTTCACTTTTACTTTGCTGCATTTTTTACTTTTACTTGAGTCATTTTGTTATGAAGTATTTTTACTCCTACCTGAGTAACATTTCTGGATTTTCTACCCACTGAATGAAAAACAAACATGTTTTAACCAAAAATTCACCAAATTCACACACATGTAGTTTTTGTTAAAGTTCCAAATGGTTTTTATTTAAATAACTGATTTGGAAATTTTTCTTTTGCCTGATCTTATTATTTTTATTACTCAACTGAATTATTGTCATTTTGGTCCTTAAATGCCAAAAATTCAGTTTAACTTTATATTTTGGTCTAACTATGTAATTTTTAAATGCTACATGACTGATAATAATTTGATCAGTTACTCAGTACTTCAGTGGACTTTATACCAAATACTTTTCTTTTTTACAAATTTTCCTAGTCAACTATTTAATTTAATGTCAACATATTCAATAAATGAGTGTGTATTTTTGATATTTTTATGCTAAAACACAAAGTGAGTTTTTAAAAAATGACCCGATTTGGTGAAATCATACCAGTGTTTTGGCTTTTCACACTTCCTTTAGTTTTAATGGGATTTTTACCAGCCTGCACTGTGAACACGGTGTGAACAAACCTCGTGTGTAGCTGGATGCCCTCTCCAGCTGTTGCTCCAGCTGCTGTCAGGACGAACTGAGGCCCGTTTCCCTCCGGAGGCTCGGCCGTGTTCTGCTAATCGCTGTGGAGAGGACAAGCGTTGCAGCTCGGTGGCTGCTGTCATGTCGGCGTGAAAATGTGAATAGACACGATTTCCAGTTATTCTGAACCACATTGTGCTCAGTCCTAGTGGCTCGTGGATAAAATGTGGAGCTTTGTAAACAGCTTGGGTGGCTTCCCAGAATAAGAACACTGAGCTGGAAACGAACGCAGCACAATCTCAACAGTGTGTGCTGCAGATTTTAAAGTCATTGAATCCAATCTCAATAAATATCTTTACTTCATGACTGAAACCGGATGAAAGAATCTGAACCGAATTGTTGTTTTTGTGTGTAATTTGTCCAGGAGCTGGAGGATGGACTCCTCTGTGGTCAGATAAGTACCAGTGGTTGGAGGTGGATCTGCAGAGACGAACCCAGATTACCGTTGTGGCCACGCAGGGTCGCTACGGCAGCTCTGATTGGCTGACGTCCTACCTGTTGATGTTCAGCGACACGGGACACAACTGGAGGCAACACCGGCAGGAAGACAGCCTGGGGGTAAAGTTTGTAACGACTCACGAATGAGCAGTAAGGTCAGGATTCTGGGATTAAAGTCAGGATTCTGGGATTAAAGCCAGGATTCTGAGATTAAAGTAAAAAATCTCTTTATCTAAGAAGGATTATGTGCAAAGAATGTAATAACCATTTTGTATATCTACCTGTTCAAGGAAGCATAATAAGTCACCTTTAAGAGTTACAGAAGAGAACTTTCTGTACGTACACCTGCAGCAGTTCGATCACGATTTGATTTTTTATTCTGGAAACTTCCAGACGTCCTTTTTTTCCTTTTAAGAAGAAAGGGAACACCCGTCTTCAGACTATATCTGCCTTTGGCGCAACTTGTAACTCAGACTTGCAAAGAAGTCTGAAGTCTGTCTCCCCAGGTCACATCACCTGAAAAAATGGAGGTATGACTTCTTCAGCGTTAAAACGAGTTGATTTGACACTCGGCGCGTGAGGCGGTGCTTCCTCACCAGCTGCCAGATTGAGCTTAAATCTGTTCGTATTAGTCAGGGTGGCTTAGTGTCACAGAAAAGGTGTGAGTTTGACAGTAAAAACAGCTGCTTCAGTCACAGCTTCCTCTTGACTCAGAAAAAACAAATCATCTGAGTTTTACTTTTCTGAAGCACTGGAAGCTTTATCACTATCTTTACACTACTTACAGCTAAGTGCATTATTAAAAATGTGTTATTTGAACCTTTTTCAGTCATATGGTTATAGCACAAAAAAGAATGCTGGCATCATAGTAAGCAACCAACTTTCTGGTCAAATTAAAGGTGATTTCTTAAACAGATTAGGAGAGGTTTGTGCTTAAACAAAACATGTTCCTTACATTATTTCACACAAAATAGTTCTTAGTAAGATTTTGAGTATTTTCGAGATGTTTTAGGGCGTCTTTTCACTTTAAATCTAAATAAGCTCCTGCTGGCCATTCCCCCCACTCAACATTTACACACTTGAAATTGGCTGCAGACAGGCGTGAAATTATACCACCATCAATCTTTGAAAAGCAGAAGTGGAGCCTCCTGAACAACCAACAAGAACGCACAGGTAGTTGCTGTTTGGTAAGTCAAGAACTAAACACTTGGTCAGTGATAAAACCAGCTGACCAAATGTACTGGAGTTCAGCGTGGGTTGCTAGGTGACAATGCAGTGCCTCTGTAATGTGTGCCTGCCGATTTGTAATGTTATATTTTCCAGACACCAAAACACATCAACATATTGACAAAAATCTGCTGGGTTTTTTTCTGTGTTTTTAGAAGCAGTAGAAATCAAAATGGAAGAACAAAATTATTTTTACAAATTGAATTTTGCATAGCAAAACATGATATAAATACTGTGATTGTTTTGGCTTTAAAATGTTTCCCTCAGTCAAACGCGCTGACAGAATATTCACGCACTACATTGTGGGGAAGGAAAGGCTTTTGCAGCTCCACTTTTCACAACCAGCTAAAACAAAGTTGGTGGAATCAACTAACTCTCTGGTTACCTAGCAACTATTTAATTCTTTGGTTACCTAGCAACTACCTGTTAACTTACGCAGCAGCAGTTTAAAGTTTCACCAAAATGCCTCATAACTGCTTAAAAAAACAAAAACAGTACAAAAGAGGACTAGCATGGCAGTATTTTGGATATTTAAAATAAAAAACTAATCAATAACTATCAATATGAAACCATATTTTGTGATAAGTGATAGGTTTTCAGCCATATTGTCCAGGCCTACAAGCTTGTTTTTTTGCTAAACCTTATTGCCACGCCTAATTCAGCAAAAATTTTCCATGCAGACTTCATGAAAGACTTTAAAGTTATTTTATTTTTATTAAGAACTTCTTCGCCCCAGTTGCTCTGTTGTTAATCCCTCCATCCTGCCGTCCTTTTTTAAAAGTTTCATCCTTCCTTCATCTCTGTTTCTCCTCCCCTGACTGAAAGCTTGTCAGAAGCGGCTCATATTTGTAAAAGTCCTCGGGCGGGTAAACGGGATGGCGTGTTCCTCGGCATCCTCAGCAGGAAACTGAGCCATTTGTTGAGCTTAACGCTCGGCTGCCCGGCAGGCTCAAGCCTTCAAAGCAATGAGATCACAATTATGCAACTCCAGAGAAGCTAATCGCGCTCACAAAGGCTCATCAGCTAACAAACACACACACACTGACAAAGTCACAAGCTGTTCAGTAGATGGAGCAAAGCGAATGCATTCAAATGCGTGCATCCAAAAATCCAACTGTTAACTTTTTGTAAGAGTCGGTTTGGTCTTTAGGGGATTCGTCTCGAAATAAGGCTCTGTGGGGAACTGTCACACAGGCAATCTTGCTGGCTTTTCAAAGGCGGCTGATTGGGGGAAAATGGAAGCTATTAGTCTTTTAACAGAGGCTCAGTACGGACACAAAATGGGATCCAAGGGTTATTGATCACTGGACAGAGAGGGAGAGGCGTCATCAGCAGGTGGGATCAATGGCCTGTTAGCTCAAAGTTGGAGAATGCAGATGTTTGGCTCAAGGCTGAGCGTTGGTGAGACTTTATGTCTATACCAAATGACAGAACCGGTACAATAGTTTAATCACTTTAAATTGATGAGTTCTACTGGATTTCTACTGATGATAAAAAGAAAAAAGTTAAAAGATTTCTGGTGTCTAGAAAATGAGCCGTTTCAAAAATCTCTGCAATGTTACGCCACGAATCAGCAAGGATTGCCTGTCACCTAGCAACCCCAGCTGAGTTCCTAGCGTTACCTAGCAACCCAAGCACATCTCCAGCACGTTTGGTCAGTTGGTGTTACTGCTGTATAGTCCAGTTTTTATTGATTACTTTCAGAAATTGCAGCGGCTGCGGTTTGCCACAGCAAAGTGAAAAATAACGCCCAAAAACAGGTGAAGAACAACAACAAAAAACATTCAAACTCTGACAACAGCTCTCCAAACGGACAGATCAGATATTACATTCAAGTGTGTCAGGAACTGTAGACAGTTCATAGCAAAACACTGAATCCCTTTTTATATGCTGCAATTGATCTAGAGTTTAAAATAACATTGCAGCTCATTTAAGAATATTGTGATATATATCGTGTATCGTGATATAGCAAAAAAATGTATCGGGATATTAAATTTTCCCCCAACCTTAGTTGCCTGGTGGCTCATTAGCTAGCTAGCATCCAACAGTCAAAACATAAACTGGCGCCCATGACTCATATCAGCAGGCTGATGGAAAATCCAAATTTGCTACAACATTCTAGTTTTGTAAAAACTAACATCTAGTTGTGTTGCTTCAGGCGTTTCCAGGTAACAGCAACGCAGACTCTGTGGTCCAGTACAAACTGGATCAGCCAGTGATCGCCCGCTACCTTCGCCTGATCCCACTGGACTGGAACCCCACCGGGCGGATCGGACTCCGACTGGAAATATACGGCTGCAGATACAGTGAGTGTGGTTACAGTTACTGTAGGATGCTGTTTGTTTGCTTACCTACAAATTATTAGGTTTCAAAATTTCTGTTGTGTTTGTCTTAAATGCTGCAGTTTGTTTGCGTATTTCTGCCACTTCCTGGAGTAGTTTGGCTTCTTGGTTGTGATTGGTTCTTTCACATCCAAAAAATACTCTGATTGGATGGAAACGATCCATTTGTGATTGACCTGAAATGTAATTTATTTACACAAAGGTTGTAAACTAAACTAATAAAATAACAAAAAAATAAAATGAGACATTTTTATTAGCTGAAATAAATAAAAACCATAATTAATTGGGAAAAACTAGAATTAACTGGAACTCTATTGTGTGTTTATAAACTAAAATATACTAAAATAATAGACATACTATGGCATAATAATGTTCCAATTTGATGTGAAATAGTTTTTTTCCCCACTGAAGCGGTTTATGTCAACTGTTGGCAAATTATGGCACTCCATAATAACTAATAAAAACTAGCAAACACACTCTAAAACCTAAGACTGAATGAATTAGACAAAACGTCACAATGAATCTACATAATATAATGTGAAACTCCGATTTATACAGAAATGCAGTCATTTGCATGTCAACAAGTGTGAAAGACGCATACAATTTTTCAAAATTTTTGCCTCTTTTGGTGTTCCATACCCAGGAAGCTGCAATGTCATAGTGGAGCGTGTGTCAGATGCATATTTAGCAACCGAGTTTAGACGCTTAACATCACTAGTTATTGTCTGCTTACATAGATTTATGCACTCGCATCAGTTTCACTGCACATTCAAATCTGTGGCACAAAGACAACGGCGCAGAAATTCAGTTTTAGATCAAAACTGAATGAAAAGTGAGGATTTATTTTATTTTTATGTTCTAGTAAAAGAGATACAAATTCAGCAGCTTGCTACTGAATGATATTTATAAGTTCTCATATTCTACCTGGGAAGTGTTTGATATTACAGCCCCTCACAGATCCACACGCATTGATGCAGCAATACACAGATTGGTCTGCAGCTTGGAGTTTAAGTGCCAAGATGTCTTGTTTCTCTTGAATTGTGGAAAAAATGCATCTTTACTTTGGATATTGCTCTCTAAAACATGGTGGAGGTGATGATGTTGTTCCTGATAATAAATGTAAGGAATGATGACTCATAAAAAGTACCAGGATGTTTTTTGTGAAGCAGAAACAAAGGAAAAGCTGTTTGGTCTTAAACCAGGAAAACATTTGGCACAACTCAAGCTGCTGAGCTCTATTGGAAATCTTTCATAAGAGTTGAAGTCAGCTGTCCACAGAAGGACTCATACAAGTTTTAAGAGCTTGGCTGGAGCAGAGGAAGAGTGGCAGAAAATATCTACCAACTGGTGCATAATGCCTGAAAACATTTAGCAAAAACACTCACAAATTCTTCTTTATTTTTCCTTATTGAACTCTTCAATTAAATTATTGTTGGTAATTAACTTTTTCAACTGAAGTTGCACCATTTGTGTTTGTATTTTTGAATTCATATCCTACCATCTACATCATTTGTTGTGTTTAATGTGATTTAAATGGTAAAGAATCAAACCCTTAAAGCTGCTTTGCTGTGTTTCGCAGCCTCTGAAGTGGCACGTTTTGATGGGACAAGCAGCCTTGTCTACAGACTGAGTGCCAGAACGAGCTGGACAGCGAGGGAGAGCATTTCTCTGAAGTTTAAGAGCTTGAAGAATTCAGGAACGCTGCTTCACGCAAAGGGACAGAGAGATCACAGCCTTAACCTGGCGCTGGAGAGAGGAAAGCTGCTGCTCTACCACCAGCAAGGTACCAACCTCAGCAGGTTATTTATTTACACTCAGCCTTTTATTGTCTATTATACAACTGAAATCATTCAGTAGTGACGGTTTCCTTTTTCCCATCCTGTCAGGTGTTTTTTAGTTTCCTCATTAGAAGAGGTTCGTCAAAATCATTAAATATACATCTGATATATTGATTATTATTCTAGTTAAGGCCACAATAGATGGATGAAAAACCAAAGAAGGAGAAAATTTCCTTTAAAAGAATTTTCTGAGTGAAAAGTTGAAAATTTGTGAGGGAAAAAAAATTAACATTTTCAGCTTAATCTCAGAAATTTTTTAGAAAACTTTTTAAAATCTGATTTTGAAAAGTTCAAACTTTGAAGGAAAAATTAAAAAATAGAATTTTTTTAAAGTTATGAGTTGAAAATTTGCAAGAAAAGACAAAAACTTGTGAAAAAAACTTGAAAATTTTTGAAAAATAAAAAAACTTTCCTAGTTTTTTCTAGCAAAGTTTCAACCTTTCAAACTTCTTTTTTTTTTTAAAGAAAATTTAAAAAATTTATCTTAAAATTTCAGTTTTTTTAGCCAAAATTTTTTTCTTCATTTATTTTTTTCCACAATAATCCTGATCTGCTACCCTAATTATTAGATGTTTTTATTTATCATAGCTAGATTTTAAGCCATGTAACCAAAAAGTCCAATTAACTACTGGGTGATATAATTACTTTTTGCTTTGCAGCAGTCATTCTATAAAGTTTTAGAGTATGCAGACTGTTCTTTTGCCTGTTATGTCTAATAATGCAACAACCTATTGTGAGTTTCTTCCTTTGGGGTGAAAACTGTCATCAGTATTCAAGGTTTTTGTTGAAGACGTGATGAAGGACGGATCGAATTTTGAATATTTGAATTCAAATAATCTGGAAGTTCTCGTCTGCAGACGCTCCGTCTCTGTTCAGCCATTATTCATTCATTGTTCATAACTGAGCAAATGTCAGTTAAATGCCTAAACTGAACAGCAATTATGCAGAGCGTCCCTGTTCTCAGATCCATAGATGGGATTTAATACCTTCTGCGAGTTTCGTTCCTTAAATAAAAAGAGGCGAGCTGTCGGAAGCAGTTTTATCCGAACGCTGTTTGTCAGATCTGATCTCAGTTAGAGCTGATCCAATTTTGAAGAAACTCAGGGGAATTGAGCTTTTTCCTGTCTTGCCAGTAACCTCTCTATGCTGCTTGTTTAGTCATAATTCTCTCGTAGCTCAAAGAAAATATCACACAGTTTGGTTTTCGGTACATTTCACTGCCATCAATCAATCAAATTTTATTTTAAAGTGCTTTACATCATAAAAACACAAAAATCAACAATGGAAACATTACAAGATGTTGATCAATGTTTCATTTCTTATGTTTCATTCTAACCCAGTGGGTTTTAGTTTGGATTTAAAGGAACTCAGTGTTTTGGCTGTTTTGCAGTTTTCTGGAAGTTTGTTGTTGGTGCACAGAAGCTGAGTGCTGCTTCTCCATGTTTGGGTCTGGTTCTGGAGATACAGAGCAGAACCAGAACCAAAGACCCGGGAGGTCTGGAAGGTTGCTATGACAACAGCAGGTCTTTAATCTGCTGAACCTTTTAGTGATTTGTAAACTGACAGCAGCATTTTAAAGTCTATTTTCTCAGTGCTACTGTGCTCTATCTTCCTGGTTTTAGTCAGAACGCCAGCAGCAGCGCTCTGGATCAGCTGGAGTTTTTTAAATGTGAAGACACTGTTGCAGTAATTAATGCAGCTAAACATAAACACATGGATGAGTTTCTCTCATTAGTTAACTAGTCCTTTAAATGATCTTCAGGTGACAGAAGGCCGACTTTGTAACTGTCTTTATGTGGCTCTGAAGGTTCATGTTCATGTGACTCGTGATGTGAAAAAGTATTTTACCTTTGACACAACCACGTCCTCCGAGAAGAAAATTTTGAATTTTTTCAGAATTGACATTTTTCCATTTAGCAGATTTATTTTCGTAATTCCAGTTATACGGTCAATGGAAACTCACCTACTAAAAACAACAACCCTCTCAGATTTCTGTAAACATTTGGAGAAATTTAAAGGCTTTTCTTAAAATCAAACAGAGTTTGGGGTTAGCAATAAGAATCTAAACTTAGCAGCCATACAACCTCCTTCATCACCTCACAGACGACTCATACAGTTGTACTTTTTTGACCTTACCATAGTCGTTCTGCATTCACTGATTTCCCTTTTTAAATTGCATGCTCTTTGAAAATCTTCTCTTTCTCACAGCTGCACCAAACTTCCTCCCACCATGACTCTCCCAGGAGTTTGCAGACTGTGTAATTTAGATCAATAGCTTTGAGCGTTCTCTCTGAGCCACAGCAGGCCCCTCCACAGTCAGCTGTTGGCAAAGGAGAGAAGAGAGGGACATAAAGGAAAAGATGACAGAAGATTAAAGAAGAAAGGAGGAGATCAAACTAACGGAGTGAAGATAATACCCAGAGGTTAAAGCGTATTATCTCCGTAGGAGAGCGTAAGATATTCTCTGAGGCTCCTCTGGCTTATCTTTCACATTCCCAACCCGACTCTGCTGGTCGCTCTGCTCTCTTCAGCACAAGCTGCGCTTCCATTGATCGTGTCATAGCGACATTTTGCAAATAAATTCAATTAACAGAAACCCAACCATTCTGGAAAGACTTGTTTTTCGATAAAGTTTGTGCACTAGGATGATGTGTTTTTGTTTTTTTTGTCCATATCTAAACTGTGATGGGGACACCTTTTTCACACGAGTCACATGATCAACAACGGGATGTTACTACTGTTAGAAACCATGAAGAAGACGACAGGAAATGGTTGGAGGATGATGGCATGGCACATTTTTCAATGAGTCGTCATGTGAAAAAACTTATTCTGATTTTAATCATGTTTTTTAATTAATGGAAACACCAAATTGCGAAATTATGTTTTGTTGACTTTGTGGAATATTCACAAAGGTCAGAGCACATTTGTTATGGAAATGAAGATATTTTTTTAATGGGAACCAAACTATTTTGAAAAAACAAATGTTTCAATAAAACCTTTTTCCATTAGGATGAGGTGTGTTTTTTGTTTTTTTGACTGTATCAAAATTTGTTTGTTTTGTAAAACTACAATTGAAAAACACTTCAGGTGATGGCGTGCCATTTATTATTTTTGTAATGACTCACCGCATGAACAAACTTATTTTGTGTGATTGTAATTGCATTTCTTGTTTGATGGAAACATTGCAATTGCAAACTTGTGTTTTTCCAACATGGCGGAATAAGAACGATTTGTGCACATTTTAAATGCAGTAGACTTACTTATAGCTGTCATATCATGCGGATCTCAAGCTAGTTGAGGAAAATGTAGCTAACTGTGCAACCGAGCTAGATAAAACTACAACACAAAACTCAGCAGGAGAAGATATATTTTGGTCCATAACACAAATTTGCATAAATTAATGGCTCAGTGAAAACACAACAAATGTCAAGTTATAATTAGCAGACAGGCACACAAACAAATAAATATAGTAGTTAGACCTTTCCTCCCAGCTTGTGGGTGACTGAGCAGTTGGAGTAAATTGAGTCAATCATTAAGATTTATGTCCATGTTTTTAAAATCACCTTATTTCCCCTTCACATTTATCAAAATGCCAGATGACTTTAATGCAGCCTGCTGCTCTATGATTAAGTTCAATTGTGATTTTTCTCTGGGAAGCTGTAACGCGCAGCAGTGAGTGCACTTCGAGCGACTGTGTCCTCCTCTGGCGCTTTCCACCACTGACAAACGATGTTAAGTATTGCTGACTAAATTAGGATGGGATCAGAGCAGCGCGCGGGTCCAGCCGCTTGTTAAGTAATTGACTTTCTTCTCTGCATTCCCAACATTAAGGACATGCTGTGGTTCCTGGCTGTGCTTTGAAGAAATAAAACCGCTGAATATTAATGCGTAACGGCAACAAAAATCACTTTTATTCTCAACTCAAAGCAACAAAAGCTTCAACCAGACCATCCCACAGGGCATCCAGGCAGTGATACTGGAATGACTCTCCCTTAGCTGAGCTAGTTAGCAAATAAACTAGAAGACAATGGACTGTGGCTATTACTGACACAATTGTCTGTTCTATCACACTTTGTCTTTGGTGATTTATTAGGAGCCTCTAGGAATTTTCTTTGTAAACAGCTGCATAAGAGTTTAAGAGGAGCCCGGAGTCAGACTGGCACTATGTTGTACTTTTCTGCAATAGAGAAAAGAGTAAAGTAGGAATATCAGTTATTTTCCCTCAGTAGGAAGATTCAGGTGCATCAGCAGCAAATTCACTGCAAAAACTGAAGATTTTACCAAGTAATTCTGGTCTAGTTTCCAGTGAAAATATGTTAACACTTGAAATAAAACTCAAAAGTAACTTTTCAGCAAGATGAGCGATTGTTTTAAGTCAATAAAGGCTTAATGTTGATGAAACATTTACTTGTTCCAGTAGCAGATTATTCCACTCAAAACGTGGGAAAATTAAATAATCTGAGAAATTATTAAAGAAGCTTGTTTTAAGGAATTATTTGTTTTAATTATTTCCTTAAAACAAGCTTCTTCTATTTTATTTATTTATTTTTTTTACTGAAAAGTTATTTGTAAGTTTTGTCTTATTTCAAGTGTAACAAAATATTTGTTTTATGGGACCAAAATTACTTGGTAAGATTTCGTGTTTTTGCAGTGAAGTCATGTAGAAAGGTTTAAAATGTAAAACAAAAAGGTAATCAGTTGGACAAAATTAACAAGGTTGTAAAATATAAAACAGAAAAGTACTTTGGAGTGATTAAAAATATACTCAGACTGAAAGAAATGCAGAGCTGTATTATTTCTGGAACAGTTTGTATCCATTACATGCAGTTAAGGTTTATCTTCCTCCCTGATGAAATCACACAAATTCTTAATATTTCTATTGAAATTACAATTAAAACTTTTCAACCTGTGGTTACTCAGCTGGGGTTGCTAGGTTACAGGCTGTGCTTGGCCGGGGTTGCTAGGTTACAGGCTGTGCTTGGCCGGGGTTGCTAGGTTACAGGCTGTGCTTGGCCGGGGTTGCTAGGTTACAGGCTGTGCTTGGCCGGGGTTGCTAGGTTGCGAGCCAGCTGATTTTTGACGTTGCTTTACGCTGGAGGTTTTTGAAAAGACTCATTATTCAGACACCAAACATGCATTTAATTAAGTTTATTTATTTATCTGATTATTTACTTTCTTTCTCTTGCTCTCTTTTCTACTTCTAACTCATCACTAATTTTTCAGGCAGTTTATTTTGTAGCTCAATACCTTTTTTGCTTTTGTTATATTATATTATATTATTATATTATACACAAATTGGTGAATAAAAAAAGTTTAATTAAATAAAAGTAGCAGTAGACGCCCAAATGGACGTGTAAACATATAAAATGTGAATTTTAAGGACTTTAAAAACACAGTTTTTACAGTAGATTGCAGATTCACTGCTTTATCGTTAATCGGTCTTCTATTTAACTTGACAACCTTTTCTTTGCAGATGTGAGTTCAGGTTCTGGGGGCAAACTTCTGGTTTCTCTTGGGAGTCTGCTGGACGACCAACACTGGCATCACGTGAAGCTGGAGCGGCTCGGCTCTCACCTCAACCTGACGGTGGATAAAAACATGCAGCAGGTTCACGTCCCAGCCGAGCTCAGCCACTGGCGCATTCACACGGTACGACGCAGAACTACTTACAGCGCAGATTTATTAGAAATTATGACTATTTTCAGATTATCAAACCCCTTATTTTAAATACTTGGAATCAACAAAGAATCAATTTAAATCTGAATATTTGTGAGGGTTTAAGGGTGGATGTGGAAGCAGCTCAAAGTTTTTTGTGTGGCCAGTATAATTTGCAAAAGTGAGTAAAAATTCATTCGTGCAGACAGAGCTTCTGCACAATATAATGTGAGATGAAACATTACTGGATAATTTCAGTAACATTTATAGTAAATTTACTTAATTTTCTTCAGGGCATCTTTACGTTTTAATATTGCAACATTAAATCACTCAACAAAAATAGTTAGAGATTAAACTTCATATAACATCGTCAGATGAGGCAAAGTGACATTTACTTAAAGTCACATCATTTATATAAGAACCTAATTATGCTAATGCAAGCAGCACATGAACATAAGTAAAATTGGTAAGTGCTGATTAATATTAATGAGAATAATTTATAATAAGTGTTGAAACTGGACTTTGGGTCACAGAAATCTTTTGAATGATGTTCCTGGTAAACATCAAGCCGTAGTATAGAGGTCAGCGATTGTTTCATATTAAGGACGAAGCAGAAAAAGCAGCAGCTGCTGCATCACAGATGGTGTTAAAGTATAGGAACACAGTTTTCATTATGTTTGATAGCCAGTCAGATTTGCCCCTGCCTGTCACCTACATTATGCATTTTGTATACGCTCTCCATTAACATCTGACTGCTTCCGCAGCTTTAGACAAACAGAACCTGCAATGACTTCATTACATCGGAACAGAGAGCAACTGAAGCCAAGTGTGTTTCTGTTATTACTGTTTATTCACATACAAAGCAGAATAACTGTAATAGGTCAAAAATTAACTACTGTCTCAAATAAAACCACCTGTTTGTTGCACCTGAAAGTGCATTCCATTTTGCAGAAAAATTGACACTTTGTAGCAATAAATCAATTAATTCCACGATAAATTAAAAAGAGATCAATCGTTTGGTATTGTTGAAGAGCAGCCATTTTGAATAATATAGTCAGTTTGCACTACCTGCCTCTTTTGCCTGTTTTCCCTGTCAAACCTGAATCATTAATATTTGAAAAGCTTTTTTAGTTTTAGTTATTATTTTGGATATTTAAAATATTTTCTAGTTGCACTGTTAAATATTCTTTATAAATTAAAGTTGTCTTTTTTTATTATCTTTGAGACGGTGTACTTGCATTAATAGGCCATTATTATTGTAGTAGTGAAATGAAAATGATCTCAAAATGACAATATTATTGTTTATTGCAATAATTTCTGGGACAATTTATCATGCAGGGAAATTTGTTATTGTGACAGGCGTAGCAGCAACAAAAAAGAGGAAAAAAATAGTTTAAGCTCTATTATTGCTGGGCTTAACCCTTTAATGTGTATTACAGCATTACATTTATTTTGCTTTGAACTAAGTCAAACCAAAAATGTCCATCTGATGAAAATACGTCAGATAAAATCCACCTGAACTGACAGGAAATGTATGTATTTTTAATATTTCAATAATATTTTTCTAATGCTCGACTTCAATATATTCTACATGAAATTTAAAGCAGCAAATAGTGTTCAAAGATTGAATTTTTAAAAACTTTATAAAACCGAGTAACATTTTTTAACGTTTTTGAATGTTTTTTTTAGCTTAGTGTGGCAGCTGTCCAGAGCCACGGACTCCAAACTCCAATCCTGCCCAACAGGAACTTCCATGGATGCCTGGAAAACCTTTTATTCAACGACCTTAATTTGATCAAACTGGCCAGACAGAACAGCCCACAGGTCACTGCACTGGTGAGTCACTCTGTTGGCTTTAACATCGGTTTAATCTTTTGTTTACATTGTTCACACGGCCACACTTCCGTCACGTTTGATCAAAATGCTCAGAAAATTATATCATGGATTTATCTGTACTTAAATTACAAATTACATTTTTATCCATTTCATTTAGTGCAAGAAAAAGACCCAAACACCTAAAGTCAATCAAAATAGTTTATTATTTTACATTATTCATTGTAAATCCAAACATTTAAAACTATTTTTATTTTTTTTTAAAGCCATTATGTTTTCAAGTCATTCTAGGATCTGTTGAAATAATTTATTCTGTTATGATAAGATTTCAAAACCCTTCCTATTGCTTGCTGAGTTTAATAAATTTGATAAAATTTCACATTTCATTAAAAACAAAAAATGAAATGTGGTTCTAATTATTACAAAAGTTTATGTTTTTCATTGTAATAAAATGATGTAAATTTACCATGATTAGAAATAAAAGGTTCAATAAACATATTCTTGAGCTGCAGTTGGGGGCCACATAAAATTGTACAAGGGCCCAAAAAGGCCCTTGGGCCACAGCTTGGACACCCCTGATTTGGTGTGATCTGTTGTTTTTTGTTTTTTTATATGAAATCACGATCTACAACTCTGGACAAGCTTAACCGTATCTGGTGCCATCTTTCATTTTTATGCTAACGGTCAGAGCCATGAACATTATCATCATCTTGATTATTATTTAGTTTTTTTATTCATACTCATCATCAGCCTCTTTAATGTCATGATATTCTCCTTCATTATCATCGAAGCCTAAAGCAAAGGATGCAGCAAGGAAGGAAACAAAACAGGCAGAAGTTTATTACTTATTCTAGATATGATATGAGCTCTGAAATTTATTTTTAAAGCATTTTAAAGCGCCTCAGGCATGACTCTCTGGTTTCTGTAATAGTTTATGGAGATTTGGGACAGAATGTTTCCTGAGATTTGTGCATAACCTTCATGTTTTTAATTGACGCTAATATCAATATGGCAGTACAGGTGTCATTTCTCCGAGATGAGACCTCTGTGACATGCAGTCAGACTGATTACGCTGATGAATATTTATGTTCATCATCTGCTTCACAGTTGTTTCCCCGTCTCGTCTTTCTGCAGGGCAACCTGACCTTTTCTTGCAGCGAGCCGGTTTTTGTCGCCGTGACGTTCACCGACTCTCACAGCTTCCTCCAGCTGCCTGTCCTGACATCATGGCTGTCAGGGGTTGTTTCCATAGCACTACAGTTCAGGACGTGGAACAAGGCAGGGCTGCTACTGACCTTTGACCTCCAGCAGCAGGACGGCTCAGTCTTCCTGTATGTCAGTGAAGCCAGGCTTCGCCTTCAGATCAGTAAAGGGGGAAATACTCTCCTGGAGCTCAGCACCGGTGAGTCAGGATCCTGTCAGCTTCATTTGGCTTCAATGTCAGGCTAACAACAAACTGAGGGACTTTTCATGGCAGTTTTTTTTTCCAATCAATGGCCTAAAAGTTGCACAAATTGGAATTACGACAATAAACTCACTTGATAAAAACACCCGTTTTGGAGAAATTCGCATTCACAAACTTTTGCTCACATCAAAATATTTAGCAAAACTCCAATGTAAACACAACCGGATGTTACTACTGCCAGAAACGACAAAAAATACAAGAAGCAATAGGACGATGACGGTGCATTGTGTTTTTCAGTGACTCATTGTGTGAACAAACTTATTCACGTGTGATTTTAATTATGCTTCTTATTTAATGGAAACACCACAGTAATGAAATTACATTTTTTCAACATTAGTGGACAAAGTTTTGCGCACAGTTGCAATAGAAATGCAGCTACTGATCACAAAATTGCACAGACTGGAAATACAAAAATAAATTTGCTTCATGGTAACACAATAATTTAGAAAAACAACTGCTTTTTCAAAAAGAGTTTTTTTCGCTGCATCAAAAATAGTGTAACCAAATAATGTGCAACCAGATGTTACTACTGGTGGAAATGACAAAGAACAAGACAGGAAGTAGTAGGACAACAATGTTTAACTATTTATTGTGTGATTAAACTTATGTCTGATTTTAATTTTGTTTCTCATTTAATGGAAACACTGCAATTGTAAAATTGTTTTATTCCTGTACAGTTAAATATGTATAAACAGCATCATTTTGTTTGTCAAAAAGCACAAAAAGTTTAAAAATCGTCAGTTACTAGTGTAACAACGGACAACAGGTAGAGAATTCCACCATAGGATTACACTGTATACCTGAAAACTTTCAAAAATCTGCATAAAACGTAAACTGTGGAAAAACCGTAAGACGTATCAAATAGCCGAAACATTTGAAAATAGTTTAAAGACTTGTGACTTGTTTAAAAATTGAATGGAGTTTCTAAGTTGAAGTAGCCAGACGTGGTAAGCCGTGAAAAAGCAGAAGACTTTAGCAGAATTTTGTTGGGACTGCAAATTACACAAAAGCACAAATATTTCAAAAAGTAAAATAGTGAAGTTTAACAAAAGACTTACCAATAATGTCCAGAAAAAGCAGAACATTTCGATATATGAATTAGCACAATCAGTTGAAGTTAGTAGGAGTAGTCAACAACCGAAAAATGTGATCAGGATCTTAATAAGTGAGAATGCAGTAATACAAAAAGAGTTGCTTATAACCAAACAACCAAGTGAAAACAGCTTATTGAGTAAAAAGCTAAATTAGACACGTATGTGACAGTCATGGATGAAGATCTAGTGCAGAAGTGTGACTTGTTTCTGTCCGTGTGCGTTTGTTCAGGTGCTGGTCTGAATGACGGCCAGTGGCATTCTGTGGAGCTGAACTCGATGGAAAACCGCCTGAGCATCACGGTGGACAGAGACGAAGGAGCCACGGCTCACACCAGCATCCCTCTTCTTCCCGCAGCAGACAGTCAGCTCTTCTTCGGCGGTCAGAGCAAAAATATCACAGATCTGATTAATGTTTGCTATTTAATGCATTTTACAGGCTCGAAGAGACTAAAAAATATCTCTTTTATGTTCTATACAGAAGTAAAAAGATGGCAAAACTGCTGACTGGTTAAAATTTAAGCCTGTACTGCAGGTACAATTATCTTTTATAGGTTGGAGTGAGTCAGGCTTTTTGCAATTTCTTTTTCTCCATTTGGTCCTAGTTTAACGCATCGCACTCCAACATACTTTCTTTATTCCTTCTCATTAAAATAATAACTTCTCCTACTTTTGTTTACTGAGGGAACAAAAGTCAAAATTAAAACCTCATACAGAAAAAAAACATGTTTTGTCTGATTTGGTGCAGATCAACGGAAGATGTTGATAGCAGAGCCAAAACCAAGATAAATGTTTTTGCACAGCGGCGACATAAAGCATGAAAGTCTATAGATGCTATTGTGCTGCTTTTTCTTGTGACGCAATTTTTGGGTTAAACCATTTTCCATTTACTATTCTCTTTAGTTTTTCTAGCACATTAAGTCACTGCACATGTCCCCTTATGAGAAAATTACAGAGAAAAATGTTGCACACTAAATAACAAGTCAGTGTTTTGCAGGGTTTTGCTAGTTATGCTAGCTTGACTATGACATCCTTGACATGTAGATGTGGTGTGGAATTTGGTGTGTTTTGTTTGAGTTACAAAACAAAAAGAAAAAATGGCGACCCGCACATCAGCTCTGACAGATCATCAGTAGAGCAGACGTTTAAGTTAGCTCATCCACCGCCGCTGTGTTAGCTTAGCTATTAGCAGCATTAGCTTAGCTATTAGCAGCATTAGCTAATCTACCACAGCTATCACTTTTTAATAATTTCAAAACTAAAGCTGAAAACATTAAACTATAACGTGCTGAATGTTTTGTTCTTTGTGTGAGAAATGTTTGAGTGCTTTCTTCATAAATAGGTGGCGTTGTTGTGTGTAGCATAGCCAACACAGCGAGTGAGGGGGGAAAAGTGTTTTTCAGTTATTCTTTAAAAAAAATTCTGCGTTATTTTTACTTTTCTGAGGAGTGAAGCACAAAATTAATAATACCTACATCTCCGGGTTTCATTTAATTAACAGAGTCGTTCTACTGCAGCGACGCAGCTACAGATAGCATGCAGAAGAATCGGCTTTTTGCTCTCCAGCGTTGTGCCCATCCGCCAGATTTCCCGAAGGAAACAATAACGACGGGTCCATACTATAAGATTGCACTTCATTCTTTCCACTGAATTAATGATTACTGAACATTGAGTCAATGTTTTACACACCTTTATGAATGAGTGCAGCGGTTTTGAAGGGGAGTATTAGACTCAAAGTTACAGTTTATCAATATTTATTTGATAGGCAGCCAAATGGATAATAATGTACTTCAAGTGTTACACAGTTATTGATTAACCTGGGAGGAGTTGCAATTATTTACAGCTGGTAAATATGCTGGACGTATTTGGACCATCATTTAACTCATAAATCATAAATGAAGAGGTATTTATTTTATAACTTAATGGAACATGTCCCTTTTGAAATTCACCATTTTTCTCTTTTTTCTTCTTCTATGTTTCTAAAATTGAAAGTGACACAGAGCAGTGTGTCATCTTATTCACCTCTTCTTCTGTTTTCACGAGCTGAACTGTGTTCCTGACAGCCCGTCTTTAACTGGAGCAGTGCAGAGCCTGCAGCGAAGTCGCTGTATTTGGCCACTCTGTGTCATCATCCAGGATTAACCTAAAGCGTAAATCTCTGAAGGATAATACAAGTAGCTGTTTTTTTTTTCACAGGATAAGACTCTTCTTGTGCCTGGAGGCAGAGAGGACTCTAACAAAAAACACATCCCACAGGCAGAGATAATAGGCAAAGTGTTTGAGGGAAACCAGCTAATAAAATAAGACAGTTATTGCATAATTTGAATCAAACACAACAGAGAGAGAAAAATATCGGTTTGATTTTACAGTTTGTTGTAGAGGATCCTCAATAGGCAACAAACGATCCTCAAAATGCAAGCAACCCATTACAAGTAGGCTGAAGTGACATTTTGGTGATTTTAAAGTTGGAAGGAAACCTGGATCTTTCTCAACGATATGAGTATAGTTCTGCAATTCAGAAAATGGCTGTAATTTAAATTTTCACAATTGAAATTACAAAAATAAATTTGGAAAGTTTCAAAAAAATAAATTCTTTGTGAAAACATTTTTACCCAAGGATTAGGGTTTTTTTCAGCCATATTGAAATGGTTTTGTTTTCCAAAACTACAATGGACATTTTGTTTTCACATCTCTCGAGTCACATGATCATTAATTGGATCTTACTACTGGAGGAAACGACAAAGAAGACACCAATGGTAACATCCGGTTGTTGAAAAACTTTCTTTGCAGTTTTTGCGGAATAAACCACTTTTGATACAGCCCAAAAAAAAAAACAAACACCTCAACCGAGTTTCAGAACTTTTTATCAAAAAACAAGTTTTATTCAACGTTGGTGTGTTCTCATGAGGCAAATTCAATTGTGAAATTTCTAATTGTTCAGTTATATGACTAATAGAAACCCAGTTAAAGGCTCAAGAGTTCATACCAGAAATATTAATTTTTTTCAATCCAAAACTACAAAATTAGTTTGACCTCTTTGTTAATAAACCCTACAAATCATCACTATTTTATGCCTTTTTTTCTGCTCACGTGTCTCTTACCATCCGGCTCATTTGTGTTTGTGCCTTCAGGCTGTCCTGCTCAGAGCGGCGGGTTGAGCTGCAGAAACCCGATTCAGGGCTTTCAGGGATGCGTGCGTCTCTTGAAGTTGGACGGCCAAACGGTCGACTTGATAGCAGTGCAAGAAAGACGGCTGGGAAACTACAGCGACCTGAAGATTGATATGTGTGGCATCATTGACAGGTTTGTAAAGCTAAAGTTTGAACAGTTTTTCCTGTGCTGATTCCAGATAAACACACTGTAAAAATACAAAATATTACCAAGTATTTTTTTGTTTAGTTTTTTAGTATAAGTATCTTAGCGTGGACTTGAAAAGGAGAATGGAGCTCTAAGTTAAAGAAATTAATTTGTAATCAAATTAAGTTGGTGAAACTTTTTTTATTTACATTTATTTAACATGACAACTTAAACTTAACTTGGATAAACTTACATTTTAAAGGACTTCACTGCAAAAATTCTAAATCTTACCAAGTATATCTTATTGTACTTTAAATACGACAAAACTGACATTTCATCAAGATATAAGAACTTGTTTTAGGTCTATAATTTCTTTTTATTGATTTCAAAAAACTCTACACTGCAAAAACACAAAAGTTTTACCAATTATTTTGTTTCATTTCTGGTGCAAATATCTTATTGCACTTATAAGACAAAACTAACTTACACGTTAAGTTTTCAGCAAAAAAAACAGGAGCTTGTTGCCAGTGAACTAGTATTTTTCATCAATATTAAGGAATTGTTGACGTAAAATATGGAGCTAAATTGATGCTGTAAAGTTTTTTTCAAAACAAAGCATTTTGAAACTGAAAAACAATTTTGAAACTCACAATTATTTTTAATTTGTCTTATTTCAAGTACACTAAAGTATTTGCACTATAAACTAGACCAAATAAACTCGGTAAGGTTTTGTGTTTTTGAGGTGCACCAATACAATTCCCAGTCGTTGGAGGTTAATCACCTTAAAGTATGTGCTGCTAAATGCGGGAATTAGTAGAAAAATTAACCGTTTCATTCCACTTTTGGGGAATAATTGAAATGTAAAAATCATAACTCTGTTTCTCTCCATTTGTCGTGGAAACAATTTAATGATGTGGAAACAATAAATGAAGCTGTTTTGCTTCTTCCTCACATTTACACAACTAGAAAAGCCCGTAAGCATCACTTTAGTGTTTGACACATTGAAAAGGGGCTTCACACAAACATGTTGTTGACATGCAGAACAAAGCAGGAGTGATTTTGGTTTCTGGCAACCAATACAGCTTCAGAACGTGAGACAACCATTCAAAGTTTCTGAATGGTTGTCTCAAAGCTTTATGGATAAAAATGTCAAAAAAGCTGGAAATTCAGATCTTAGTGATTCTCTCGGACTTTCCAAGAGACGTTGTCCTTTGAGCAACTTCAGGTTTCTTCCTGTTTTTTTGTGTTTCTTCAGAGATTCACTGTCAGGTGTCTCAATAATACACAACATGCTGGTTATAAGAACAAAGGCTGACACCCAATACTTATGACCTGAGGTGCATGTAGAGCTGACACCAATATTTACTTTATTTAAAGACATGTGGCGTCTGACATTAAGTCAAACTGAACTTTTCCCTGTAGTTCATTTAATTACCAGAATTATTGTTACGTTTTTAGTTTCTCCACATTCAGAAGTTTACAAACCTTTCCATAATATTTTGGTGGAGTCACCATTATGGGTAACCTACTACTAATTTATACTAATGCTGGAATTTTGGAAAACAAATGAAATTGTTCCTGTTTTGGTCTTTACTTCTAAAACTCTTTTAAAATATTATGTATAAAAACTCCAACCAAAGTAGACACTGGAAAATGCGATATTTGGTTCAACATTAAAATAATGCGCTGCTATAGCACAGTTTTGCTTTGACATGATTCCTAATCAACATTGTCTGTTATTAACTTTATATTCTAATTTATAAAGTTACTGATTTATTCTAATAAATGGTTTAGCCATTGAAAATACTTAAACCTGAATGTTTGTCCCAATAAATGGACTTCCCGGTGCCATGATTCCTAGACGGAAGCTGTTAGGAATCAGCTTCCTGTTTCCTAACAGGGAACAGGAAATGTGTTCTCTGGAAAAGTGAGTTCATGAGTCTTTTGGTCAGTCAGCTGCACTTTTAATGGCCTGCATGTTGAGCTGAACCACTTTGTGTTTTGAAGCAATCTGATTGGCTGACAGAGACTTTAGCTTTGGGCTACACTGCCCCCTATGGGTTTGACATGTTTAAAGCAATGATCAGGGGTGTATCTACAACAGCGTACTAGCGCCACTGTAGATAGAAAAAAAAGAGGAGTTATTGTCCATAAAAAATTCTGAAACTTTGAGATTAATATTTTAAAATATTTTTAAAAGTATTTCAAAAGTAATCTGAGCGAGTGGTAGCATATCTTTACAGAATAATATGGGTCCAAGGATTGAGCCTTGGGGTACTCCACATGTGATTGCTCTTTGCGCTAATGAAAAGTTTCCTGTTGATACAGAAAACATCCCTGTTCTCTGTTGTAGTGTGTTTGAGGTAAAATAAATCAACAGATCTTCCTCCCTTTAACTGGAACGTAATAAAAAAACCTTTCAGAATATTAGAAATCAGTAAAATCTGTGAGGCGTAGTTATGTTAGTGTATGTAAACTTCTGAAATATGAGCAAATTATTAAAGGTTCTCAAATTCTTCAGGCATTCTGGACATAGAAATAGTTTTCTAAAATATAATTTACATAAAACAGAAATAGCTTCACTGTTAGGAAGTAAGAAAATGTAGTTTTAACTCGACACAAACAACTTTGTCCAGAGAAAAGTGAGTTCATGAGTCTTTTGGTGAGTCAGCTGCACTTTAAATGGCCTGCATGTTGAGCTGAACCACTTTGTGAATAAAAGAGAGACGTGACGACGAATCCCTGAACAGGAGCAGCAGAAACTCAAACAGAAAGGCACATCTTCCCTCCTGCCTTGATTTCTCTGTTCAGCAGGCTGCCGTTGCTTAAAGTCTTCCCAGAATGCACCAGTGACGGTGAGCATGTCGGCAAAGCTGCTGCGCTGTTTCAGCCGGAGGCGGTGATAGAAACCGAGAAGACTGGAGATCTGGAAGCTCAGTAATCCAGGAGAGATTAGAGAGTCAAACCTGAGCAGAAAGTTTTTATTTTCCAACATTGCAGCATCAGGGAGGCGCGTGCAAAAAGTTAATCACCCTAAAGACGGGACACACTGATTCAAATTAGTTTCTAATCTTCTAAATCCAGATCAGTGTTTCTCAGACTTCTTCACGCTGAGGAACTTTTAACCTGTTTGACAAATAATTTGAAATTTACCTTATATTTATCTTAATATATATAACCTGATATGAAAAGATCAGATAAGGAAATAATTCTTCCCTTCATATGAATACTCCTCGTTTTCTTTCTATCTGTATTTTCAGTTTTTCTTTTGAGTTATTCGGTCTGAAGCCACTTATCTGTTATTATTTTTAAACACTATTATTTGGTAAACAAACTGTACGCGTCACCCTTTAAGCTCACATTACCAAAGAACATGCAAGTTAAGCCGTCGTGCTAATGGCCTCCACACCACCAGGGGGCCTCCAAGAGCATTATTACTTTTTCTTTTTTTTTACAAACTGCAATGTGTGTTTTTGATGACGTTACTGTTTTTCACCTCAGAGATCACTTTTATCACATTCTACTAAGAAACTAAAAGATAGAAGGTATTTGAAAAAAATAATTATATATTTATATTAAAAACTCAGTAAACTTGATGTATAAATAATAATAAAAAAAAAAGATAATCGTTAATTCTGATCAGAGATCAAGGTCATAAAACTGCAGTGCAGGAAAACGTGCCAGCACTACTTTTGCTCTGATCCTCTGAAAAGTCCCGGTTTCCTCCTTCGCTCCTCAACGTCAGAACCTTTTTCCATTCCCTCCCACATGTTCTGCTTTTCTTTTCCACCATTTTGGGCCCTTTGCTCTTTACATTTGGTTGGATAAATTTAAAAGCAATTATTTATGTTTGTTTCAAAAAAGCAAAACAAACAACAACAAAAAAAAAAACATTTTTCCACAGCAAGTATGAGCAACACTTTGTTGGTATTCTGTTGCCGTCAAAAACACAATTTTGCAGTTGCAGTGTTTCAATTTAATCAGAAGAACATTTGAAATAACACAAATAGCTTTGCTTATGCGACAAGTGATTGTAAAATGACATGAAAAATACATAAGAAATTAAAGTTTAACTGTATGTCATCGACTCTTTATGCAAATTAGGTCATTGCCATGAAGCTAAAGCGTGATTAATTGCAACAGCCCACTCGGGGGGCGCTGGAGCGCTGCAATGGAGTAGGCGCTTTTTTGTGAGGCTCCGTATTATCTCCCCAAACTTCGCCTCTAACATAATACACCTGGCCCTTTATTCAATATTGTTTTTCTTCAAGAGATTGGGAATATTTTTTTTACTCTTCTCTCTCAAAATGGGGAAGAAGGACGGCGCACAGAAGGAGACAGCCCAGCCGAGTTCCGGAGCTAGCAACGAAGCTATCCTAGGTGCTATCACAGCTCAGGGGGTGCAAGTTGCTAAGCTTTTCGATCTTATTGATGACCTAAAGAAGACAATGGAGGGCCGTTTCAACACTATTGAATCTTCTCTCTCCGCCGTGCAAACTCAACAACGGGAGATAGAGAGCCGAGTCGACACCATTGATGAAGCCATGTCGTCTGCTGATGGCCGCATCTCGGCCCTCGAAGCCTCCTGTGGTCAGCTCCGGGATGCTAACGCTCTGTTGAGAGAGAAGCTAAGTGATCTGGAAGGTCGGTCCCGCAGATGTAATATAAGGGTGCTTGGCATCAAGGAAGGTGCAGAACAAGGTCGCCCTACTGACTTTATTTCACGGCTCTTACCGGAGGTACTCGGAAAGGATAATTTTGTCAAGCCCATCAAGATTGACCGCGCTCACCGTAGTCTTAGGCCGAAACCGTCACCTATGGAGCGACCACGGCCATCATCGCAAAGATTCACAACGACAGAGACGTGGCTAACATTCTGCGACTCAGCCGCTTGCATTCACCCCTGATGTACAACGGAGCCCGTGTGTCCATCTTTCCTGACTACACAGCTGAAGTCGTGGCGCAACGGATGGCCTACAACAGCGTGAGGAAGAAGCTAACCGACA